ACTGGATATTTTCATAGAACTTGTAATCAGTTCTAATAGTTTCCTTTGCTGACAAGTGCGAATGGCGCTAAGTACTTTTTAATAATGTCGGCAAATATTAATTATAGACGTGCTAGTGAACAGTGCGTTTTCCGGCCCGAGACTTGCACTAACAGTTCTGGCCTATACGCAGAAATCCAACATCTTCACTAAGCGTTGCTAAAGAACGGTTATTGAAGGAGGATCTGATTCTTGACGAAGAACATATGCACCCAGCTCAAATTTATAGTTGGCTAATTCATATGAGTCAATGGAAATTTTATCGTTCATACTCAAGGTATCTCAACGTATCACGAGGTACATTAATAACATGAGGCTTAAGGTCTACTTAAGGTAACCCGGAAGATGTGTTAAATGTTGTCTACAAAGTTCAATGCAGATACTGCGGTAAGGTGTACATTGGAAAACCAACAAGAAATTGAACATCCGTACGAAAGAGCACCTTGCTGCTGTCCGCCTTGTACTGGTTGACAATTCTGGTATTGCCCAACATGCGATTAATGAAGGGCGTTCCTGCAAAGACCAATCTATATTACGTCTGCTGATATGTGAGTCCTTGCATATACTGGCAATGAAAAACCGGATGTGCAACGAAGCACATCTTCTGTGGTTATGATTAAAAACTGGAGCACAGTTGCAAAATTGATAAGCATAATCAGATCAATATGGCAAAGATAAACTGTTTTAATATGAACATTACGCTGTGCTCAGACAACTTAACAATGGTTCTATATTACAGGATGAACCAACTGAAAAATTGGTATTGTTCTCTTGCTAGACATACTTATCTTCTATCAGTCAAGTGTACTCAGTTCAGCTATGACTTTGCTGCGGTCTGTGCATTGAAACACGTTGGCATTAAACGGTTTACCATCTGCTGCATTTAAAGTCCTGAAGCATGAATTATTCAAACAACTATCTAAATGAACATCCAAAATGCAAGAGAAGCTGACGTGATAGTAAGGATAAATGTGGGTCATGTACTGAAGCATAGGATATGAGGTCAAGTGAGGTCAAACGATTAAAATCAGAACCTAAATATCCGTTCTACAGGCTGTTGTTATCCAGTAGATTCAAAAATTCAAACTTCGTTTCTAAATGACACAAGATATGAAACATCTTACGTGTTGCATGCTTCCTTGGGCACTGAAATGATGTTCGGCTGCTAGACAACGTAATGAAACGTTTTTTAGAAACGCCTACCGAATCGCTAAAAATATCGATGAACATAGTGCATTGAGGAATGAATGTACTGGAATAAAAAACTTAAGATTCTAACTTATTGATCTCGTAGATGCACTGACATAGGTCATAAAATTAGATGGAGTGGTTGGTTGCTCAGTCGGAAGAGCGTCGGATGTACAGCCGAGAGGTTACGGATTCGAGTCTCAATTAAGTCCCTCTCCTTTACTTTTTCTGAGGTTGATAAGTGAGTGCCACTATGTGGGAAGAAAGCAGGAGACTGCACGTTATGCCACAGGTTGCTTTCAACTCTGCCCTCAAAATAAGACTCTCCTGGCTGATGGCATGGAAATGAAGATTACCGACAAACCATTAAGTTCTTGATACGGAGGGCTCCGGAAGTGACTCTATTATGGAAGTGTAAAGATCTTAATCTTCATCTTCCATCGCCGCTTCTCCTTTCGGGTTGCGGAGGCAGACGCGTCAGACAGTGCTTCCAACGTTCA